CTGAAGATAGTTCCCTTTGGGTTGCCAACACCAGGGGTTTCCTCGAGGAATCAGCCGTGCCTAGCGCTTGCAGCTGGTTCCCTGACCAGTGTGTCGCCTTGAAACTCGCATGTGAGCATATTGGATCAGGCGAATCTGTGAGTGGGATGGGCTTCACATGGGCTTCACATGGGCTTCACAGGTTTTCCTTGTTTTCTAGGTCCCCCGGTAGTGCCCTTTTACCCTTTTTTTGGAGGGTTCCCCTACTAAAATAGACTACAGAAAAAGGGTGCCTGTATTCTACCCTCTCTACTGGAGGACCTAGTTCCCTTCAGCTTTGCTTCACCTCGACTCGCCGTGCTAGGCCGCCAGAAAGGCGAGAGCATCCGAGGCGAGGGGGAGAGAAACCAGGGGCACCCTTGGTTCATGGAAAGCGAAGGGTAAGCAAATTTTGGAGGACCCCCTGTTTTGACACGTACGTGGATAAGATGGTTGGAGCTCTGGTGCAAAACTGAATCCAAATGATCCAACATGGCACTTTCAACCAGGCTGGCTGCTGCAGGTAGCCTCCAACTGGTGGCTTCTGAAGCACTTCTGGATGTTTTCGACTGTGCCTTTGCCTCTCAACATTTTTTTTTTTTTTTTTTTTTTTTTTTTTCGGGGGACCTTCAAAATGGTGGCTTTCTTTTCGGTTCTCCTTGCGCATAAGAAGGTAACCTCAGAGGCAGAGACACCCAAATGAGGAACCCCCGCCTTTCGAGCCTTGGCTGCGCTCTCGAGGCGGATGATGCTTCGCCGCCCGCCTCAAGTGAGGGGGGTGGCGCTGGTACCCTGATTAACCTCGGGGGGGGGGAAACGCATTCATTCGTCCCCAAAGGCGCTGGCAGGGACTGCCAAATGGCGTGCCTTTGCGTTGCCTTTCATTTCAGCGGGGATTAGTTGCTTGGTTTGTTCTGGGGATAGGAGGTCCAGCATCTGAAGAAAGGGACCACACAAGGCGAGTGTCTTTCCCTTAAAGTGAAGAATCCTTCCCTCAATCCATTTATCTCCCAATTGACACATCGGGCTTTTCGGATGTGTCCTTTTTTTGGATGGCGCCCAAGTGGTAAGGCTGGTTTAAAGGGAAACCCAGGGAAGACCACCAGAAAGGCGGGGGTCCGATTTTTGTTTGGACACAAACCCATGGATCCGCGGGTTTAGCGGAATCAAATCCGGCCGCAACGAGCCCGCGGCTCGAGGGCCCGGAGCCTCGTGCTGCTCCAAAGCGACAGCTTCTGGCAGCGCAAGGGGCAGACCATCCTGCTGAAGCGGCCAGGCCGTTTTGCGGGCTGGCTCGAGGGTTTCCAACCGCGTTTAGGGGTTTCCGATTTTGAGAAACACCCCAAATGGGCGTTTCTCAAGATGGACTTGGGTTGTAAGAGCAACCAACCATTTTAGAGACCGAGAAACACCTATGACCTTTTTGGGTTCCGTCCGTTAATTTGCAGGGGAGCACGATTCCATAGCCGTCCGATCAATTGGTTTCCCCCCCCTTTTTGTCCGGGGTCACTTTTTTTGTGTGGAGTGGAGTGGCTGTTTGTTCCCGTCTCTTGACCCCCCCCCAAAAAAAAAACAAACAGAAAGAGAGAAATCCGACCGAGCCCCCCCATGTTCGGGCATCCCTGAAGGGTCTATGGCTCAAGTCTTGGGGTTTTCCAGGCAGCACCTTGGAAGCCAAAGAGTTCCAGCTCCATGCCGTGCTGGACGGGCGGTTTGACGCAAAAAGAATCCCCCCCCCCGATGGGAGAGACGTGGCGAAGGCACTGAGAAACCGAACCCGTGGATCCGACTTGAGTTTTGGGGTTCCCTACTTACTTTTTTTTTTTTTTGGGGGGGGGGGATTCAACAACAGTTTAGGTGGTACATTTCTTTTGTTGGGGGTGGTGGATTCAACTGGATTCCGCTCTGTCAAGTAACATAATCTTGTTCCCAGATTGGTGGCAGATCGCCTGGGAGTGTTCCCACCAACTCCAGCGGCAGAGGTGCCCGTTTTGGTTTGGCCATCTACTGCGCATGCAGGGAGTTGTGCCATCTACGTTCACCCCGCTGTTGACAGTTGTTGAGAGGGAGGGTGTGGATGATGTCATAGGTCGTTTTGGTCTCTGCTTCAAAAGCGATGCAGAAGGCGAAACATGTGCCGGTGATTGCCATTGTTTCATCACGCTTCCCAATTTCTGAATGGGGCGCCCGAGATGCGAACCACTGGCAAGGAGATGAAATCGGGAGCTCAGCTCGTGCGAGAATTCAGTGAGCATCTGCACCTTGGCGGCACTGGCTAAGGTGCTGTTTCCCGCTTCCTGCGTCATCCTTTTCGACACTAAATAAGGGTACAGTCCGTATTTTCCATTCCAGGTCATACTTTGCGTTTCTTGTTTGTTGCAGGCTTCTCCAAAACTTAAGGGAGCAAGTTGTTACACCTTGCTGCACCTGGGCATGCAGGCCTTGATGCTAAGTTTCTCAACAAAACACGCGTTCTCTTTGAGAATCGACTCCCGCTAGTCATGGGAAGGGATCTCTGAAAATGTACTGGGGCGCATCTTACGCTTTTCTTTTGGGTCCTTGGCTTTGTTGTGGCCCGCATTTCACGTACCAGCATCTGGGCATCGCTAGATGCTTAGACCGATCATTGTTGTTTCTATTTGGATAAGTGTTGAGCAAACGCCAAGAGGCCGTCGACCCCCAACAAATAGCGCATAGGCTTGCACTGACGATGGGTGCTGAAGCCTTCCACTGTGCCGATCGCACAATGCACCCCAGACATACTTGCAGAATGTCCTTTAGGAGCTGTTCTGGGGTTCCATGTTGGTTTGGACAATGTTTGGGGATTTTTGCGGGCGTTTACTCGGCAAATGGGCATGGGTCAAAGTTAAACCACCAAGAAATATACAGTCCTTATTTCCATTTGCCAGGCTTCCATTTTGGGTGCCTGCTGTACTATTTTTGACTCACCCAAATGCGTTTTGCCTTTTGCAGGGCCGAATCGTTTGACCAACCCATGGGCGATCCCGGAGTGCCCAACGATCCCAGCCAGGTGGCCCACGGTGCAGAGCGCAGTGCTCAAGGCGAGGGACAAATGGGGCCGACGAGAATTGTGGGCCCAACAAAAATATGGCCATGGGTCAACGTACCCGCAGTGAACATCCCAATCCCCGCTAAAATCGACTAAAATGGGTGGCGCACCTACCCCAAAATGGTACCATTGGTTTTGCCCCACAGCCACATAAACTTCCTTAGGTTCATAACGTGCACTTGGCTATTGGCCTAGGTTTCTAATGTAAAGTTGCAGATGGGTCGGGATTTGTGGTTGGTGGCCTTCGCGTGCTTTTGCTTTCCTTGTCAAGGCAAGCAACTGCCAGGTATGGTTCTGTTGCTCACTACTTGCCTCGGATCCCTTCACAAAAGGAACCATGGCCCACTTGAATTCTTCCTCTTCCTCCTCATCAGATGGCTGAAGGAACGATGGGCGGGAACAAAGTAGCCTGCTTGGCATGCAGGAGCGTTGCAGGGACAGCGGCACGCTTGTGTCCTACAAGTACTTTCGCACTGATCCTCCGCGAAACAAGATGGTCCCCCAAATTGGCCACGATTTTATTGGATAACGAGTCTAAAGGAGCCCCAAAACATGAAAACATCGAGCAAAAAATGTCGAACGAAAATCAAGCTGCCCACACGACACGGAAACCGTATGGAAAGTCCAAGTCCTTGAAGTCGCATCTGGTCGGTCACACTCCCTGGCATGGTTCAAGGGAAACGACCCCTCGCAGAGAAAGTCGTGCATCTTTCGCTCAGGCGGAGAGCTTGTGCCTGTGGCTACATGGGCCGCGGGGTTGCGGCAAGAGCCGACTCGCCTGGGACAGGCGGGTTTGCGGGTTCCCGCGGCGTGGCGTTTTCTTGGAGAAGGTCGGCGTGGCGTTGCGTCAGGTGATTTGTTGATGCTGAAATTGCCAGCGTGGATTGATGATGTTGGCTTTGTGTTGGGTTTCTTGACGTCGTTGGTTTTGAGTGTTGATTAGTGGTGCTTTGTTGCAGGCCGATCAGCAAGGTCTGAAGATCCGGGGGCGAATTCGGGTGTGTGTGTGTGTTTTTCCGTTTTTTGTTTTTTTTCTTTCCGGGGGGTTCCCTCTTGGGAAAAGAACAAGGGTACCCAAAAAAAGAAAAACCGACCACACCCATATGAGATTGTGAGATTGCTCAGGGGCTCGCAGGGTCACACTACCAACCGCAACTCTCGGCAGCATGATCCGGTTGCAGAAACAGATCCCCACGCCCGTTTAAACATGGAATTGGGGGAGGGGGTGACCCTGGAATTCCAGTTACGACTCCTGTGGGAAGACTACAGAAACGGAATTGCTGGACCCCCCCCACCCCCCACCCCCTTATGGTAGGGGGGATTTCACTTGAAGTTCTGCTCCTGGTGGGAAGTATGTCCCGAGTTAGGATGCTAGATGGGTTCCCTTGCGACGTTGCCTTTCTCAACCACAAGCGGGTTCCTCATTCAAACACGTTCTCAAGGGAAAATCTGCAGGGTCACCAACGAGTGAGAGCTGGGCCTTCCACTGCCCTTGGAATCCATTGCCATGGGGGGACATCACGCGGCAGCAGAACTGCTCCAGATCTTTCATTCTCAGTTTGATCGCATACCATGGCCATGGCTCAAAATTTGAACCAGCTAAGGGTTACAAACAGGTTTTCGTCTGGGCGACAAAATTTGAAGCTAAGGTTCCGAACCTCTCTCTTTGTGTTGCGTCTTTTCCATGGTACCCGGGTGCCAAACAGTTTGGGACCCGTCGCGCTACTCCAAAAGCCCACCGTCGGCGAGGGGCCTTGGGCAGCTCCTGGCGCACCACGTCTTCCGCGCCCTGGAGGCGGCAACGGCGGGCGACGGCCCGGGGCATGTGGGTATGGGTCAAAATTAAACCACCAGGTTTTAGCCCTGGGTTACATTTACCAGGGCCCCATGTTGGGTACTATTTTTTGACCCACTGCCATTTGTTTCTTCGTTTACCGGAAGGAAGGCCGTTTGTTGGGAGGCTGCCAATCCCGTTCCAAGTGATCAAGTCATGGGAACTGCCCAAAGAAAGGGAGGTGTTTTGGGTTCCGTCTGAAAATCGGTAGGTTTTTTTTTTTACATGGAAACTTGGCTTTCTCTGGGTTGGAGGGGGTGACGGGCAAGAGGAAGTTAAGACTTGAAATGTGCTGAAACCTCTGCACAGTGAGTTGCCATTGGGGGAAGAACCTCTCCCACCAGCGACAAGAAGAATTAGATCACAACCTGCCAAAGGGACAAGGTTGATCACCCATAAAAGACTCCAGGTAAAACAGCACACTCAATGCACCAGTGGGTGCCCTTGGAAGAACGGTCCCACGTGAAGAGCAGTTGTTGTTTTTCATCAGGGTCAAATCAGGGTGGTCCTTCCAAGCCTACCTTTTTCAGAACAGAGTCCTGCCTACAAGTGACTTACACACCATTTTCGCGGGGTAAGCCAGCTCGCTCTTCTTCATTTGTGGACTGAAACCCACTCCTTCTCCTTGGGAGATGAACCCCTGAGTTTGGGTCAGGGTGAAAGGGGACCCTGCCCTGGTCTGCATTCCAATTGGGCCAAGCCGCGAACGCGGGGCTGCGAAAGCCGCGTCGCAAGGAGCTAGCTCTATTGCCCATCGACGAGGAGGATGGCCGGATCTTGGTGACTCTTCAGCTGCTTGGCCGCGAACGTTTTTTCTTCAAGAAAAACGAATCCGGCTGTGGCAAAAATTGGCCGAAGCCAGTTGCCTTGGGACCCCCTGGATTTTCGTACGGGGCTGGCACCCACTTGGGCTTCTACGGCCTGAGGCCTGAGAAGGCGGGGCGTGCGTGCGTGCGTGCGTGCGTGCGTGCGTGGGTGCGTGGGTGGGTGGGTGGGTGGGTGGGTGGGTGGGTGGGTGGGTGGGTGGGTGGGTGTGTGTCTTTGTGTGTCTTTGTGTGTCTTTCTGTGTCAAAACTAGAGTGAGCGGGGCGATTTTTCTTCGATTTTGCCACTTAACAAAGCTGCGATGCTGGGTTCAAGGGCCACAGTCCTGGCAACATCAGTCTGTAGGCCCGAGCGATGCTAGGCTCCAATGGAAACGCGTCTGTGCTCGGAGTTGCCGTGCTTTTCCTGACGCTGCATGCAAGGAATCATGGACCTGACTTGAAGTTTGCGATTGCTTCCGCCTGGCGAATCTGCAAAACCATCGCCAATCATTTTGCAGCCGCACCCTCCACAAAGAACGCAAGAGAGCAACAGGAGAAGCGAGCGCGGGTGGAAGCAGCCCTGTGGGATGTGCGCGCAGGCACTTACAGACGCATTGTGCGGTTTATGGTGCCTCAGTTGTTCAAAGCCAACTTTCTTTTTTAATCCACTTTCATTAGTCATGGCCCAACAGTTTTTTTCCTTTGTCCTGGCTCCTCCGGGCAAGTGAGGTACACTTGGGCGCTTTCGGAGTTCTCGGCATGCTACACGCTTCGTGCCTGGATCCTTCGATACAACAGCTGGTGCAGCTCATGTTCATGTCATGCGTCTATCTGTCACACCACTTGGTTCTCACAAACCGGTTGACATTGAACAAGACGAACTTGAAGATAATTTATGTGGTCTTTTATGCATCCTTCATCCCTTTTGTCTTTGCTAACCCCAATGGAGATGATGGACGTGCAATCATCACGCAGGGTTTCAATACATCTTCTCGAATGATCATGTCAGTGGTCTTCATGGACACTTCCACCGCAGCTCCTGCACAGCTGGCAATTTCACTGGCAGAGATTGGTGTGCATTGGATGCGGCACGCCTCGGCTGACATGGTTTTGTTTGCATGGATGCAAACACTTGTCGGTTGTTCTATCATTGGGATTTCAGCCTTTCTGGAATTTTGGGTCACTTCGCACATTTCAGTGTTGTTGGACACTGAGTGCATGGTATCTAGCTTCAGGAGGATGCTTCGAGGAGTATGCGATGGTGAGGTTATGTTGAATGAAGATATGGAAGTTTGTGAAGATGCCGTTTGCTTGAAGCATTTGCTGATGACACAGGGCAATTTCAAAGGCAAAGGCTTCCAGAAGCTCTTGGTGCCCGAGGAAAGTGGCCGCTTCCAAGAGTTTTTGAAGCAGTCCATGGCTGACGCGCAGAAAGCAGAGGAAGAAAGAACCATGACTCCTCCGTGTTTGCGCATCTCTCTGCGTGGGGCTTCAGACATCCGTGTTGGAGTAGATCTTTGGCACGTCTTGATGCCAGGCAGAAAGGATGGGATGCTTCACTTGTTGGCCCTGAGGGAAGATAGCGAAGCGAGGGCAGCACCCCCCTCAACTACCAATGTGAACCAGAAGATCTCTCAAGAGCCAGCAAGCCCGACATCCACCGTGGCAGATGATTCATTTGATCGCGAACCTTCAGAATCATCATACATGTCACAGAAATCTTCGGCGTCCTTCTTGCAGAACTTTCCAGAGCTAGTGAATATGACTCTGTGTGTGGATGCCACTACTCATTGGTTTGATGTGGAACAAGCACATTTGAGCTTTCAGAGGCAGCCTCAGAGCTCGGATTCTTCTATGCCAAGCTTGCGTCGATTGGTTCGGCCGACAGATTGGGAAACTGTGAGATCCAAGTTGAAGGAGATCGCGGATCAGGCAGATGGTTCGATGGACCTTCGACTACGGCTGGTGGATGATGCGAAGAGGTCCATGATTGCTCAAGGACACGTTTCCACCTACAAACCACCGAGAGGCCATGAGGATGGGGTGAAGCTTTGTTTGCAACTCACAGAGATGCTGTTTGAGGACAAGAACTCGAGGGATTGGAACCTCGCAGCAATCAGCGAATAGCACGCAGTCAGTTATAGCTGAAATCATTCTTCATCATTTCTTCCAACGACAGGGAGGAGAAATGCCACCGTATCACAATGCATTTTAAGGTTTGTGCTACCTAAAGGATAGCAAATCGAGGCTCCTTGCTCCATCAGCTAGGTCTTGTGGATCCAGGGGGCATCCCCTACAGCAAGTTTTTCTCGCGAGCGTGACAGCGCTGAGCGACCAAAAAGGAGCACAGTCGAACACAGTGAAGCCAGATTTCATGATGGTTATTCCGGGTCCAAGTCGCGCAATTCTCTTGCAACTCAAATCGCTGCAATTCTGAGCAGTTCAAATTCAATGCCCTGAAGCAGATAGAAAACTGAGGGGAGTATGGTGACGATGACGATGGAGAAGGGGCTCATGTATGATGATGATGATGATGATGATGATGATGATGATGTGGTGGTGGTGGTCGTGGTGATGATGATGATCAGGATGAGGATGAGGATGAGGAATCATGATGATGATGATGATGATGATGATGATGATGATGATGATGATGATGATGATGATGATGCTGATGCTGATGATGATGATGATGATGATGATGATGATGCTGCTGATGATGATGATGCTGATGATGGTGATGCTGAAGGATGATGAAGGATGACGGATGAAGGATCATGAAGGATGACGGATGAAGGATGACGAAGGATGAAGGATGAGGATGGGACGAGGACGATGACAACGACAAAGGTGGTGGTGGTGGTGGTGGTGGTGGTGGTGGTGGTGGTGGTGGTGGTGGTGGTGGTGGTGGCGCCGCCGCCGCCGCCGCCGCCGCCGCTGCTGCTGCTGCTGCTGCTGCTCCGTTGCTGACGATGATGATTTTGATGATGATTCGTGATCATAACAATGAGACTGAGAGTCAAATTTTGCTTCTTTTCAGCAGAAGCCAAATACAATACAGCACACTTGAGCCTGGATTTTGTCTGCCCAGAAAGCAAGCAACTTTGGTGCCGACACCTGCGCCGGTTCAGCTGACTCAGGACAGACAAATTTTGTTGAGTGATGTGTTCCTGGCCTGCGTTGAGAGCAGACGTCTCACAGACAGTAGAATGGTGCCATGTCGCACAGCATGAGTGATCATTGCTGACGCGTATATTTTGTGTGTTCGAACCATCATCAGCTTCGACCATCTTTTGACGTTATCTCTGCCCAGAACTGAGGCACCCCAAATGTCACAAAGCATCCAACTGGTTTGGACACTCGCAGCTAAAACCTGCCAGCTTCTCCTTTGCCATGTCTGCGAACACCGCGGACCTCGATGTGAGCAATCCCGAGCAGGCAAGGTCGGGCAACATTGCATACCCCAAATCGGCAGTCCAAGACAATTGACAGAGAGCTCTTTCATGGTGCCCGCTGAAAGGCAAAACCAAAGGAACGTTGTTTCAACAATGGGTGTTTGACCATTATACTTTTTGGGAAGACCATTTGCATGGCAAGCATAACATTACCCCATTAGCTGTGGTTTTGAAGTGGAAACTAAAAGGCAACACCACCAAAACACCCACATATCCCCACCCCCCTAAATATGGAATTGGGGCAGGGACGGGACCCTGGCATTTTATTTATGGTTCCATTTCGTGTTTGGGCAGGCAAGAATAATGGAATTGGGATCAACTTGGTTTCAACATGTAGGCCTTGAACCTATGCAACATCCGCAGCGTGCTGCAGCGGATGGAAGACTCCATCATCTTCAGCCTCATCGAGCGTGCCCAGTACCGGGTAAACGCTCCCGTCTACAAGGCCAAATTGGGTCCAATACTGATTGGGACGAAATCCTACACTGCCGAACAAAACCTGAATCGGTGATTCCCCTGTAAATACCAACAACAGCTGGCTTCAGATTGTGTCACAGTGGTGCAGGATGCCATCCATCCACAGTATGGGGGTGTTTTTTTTGAGAGGGCACCCTTTTTGGGGTGGTTTTGAAAAGGGAACCACCAGGACAACCAAAGCCATTTTCGGGATCTCCAAATTTTTGCGTGTTACCGGTTCGGATTTTTGTTAGGGGTGCACGCCAACCACATCACTTCCCCTTTCAGGCCCCCTTGAAAGTGCTCTTTGATTCTTCATCGGCGGCCAGGAAGGGCTTCCCAGCAGACGGCTAGAGGAGTCCTCCCATGAAATATGACAGGCGGAGGACATATGGGTATGGGTCAAAATTAAACCAGTCCATTTACCAGGGCAACCTATTTTGGGTACCATTTTTGGACTCACAGCCATATATGACACAAACAAGGATGCAACTAAGAGGTTCGGAATAGCCAGAACTGACTAAAAGAACATCACAGGCTTTTCGATTGACGTGAGACCCGATGGGCGGAATCAAGGGTTGTCAATTTGTTAGGACCCTGTACGATGCATTTGTGCAGCCCTTTAGACGCCCCTTAAGACGGCATACTCTTTCAGGGCCACCATGTGCGCCCGCCGCGATCGAGGCCGAACACGGGAGCATATTTTAACACGCTCACCGGCCGATGGCGACCCATCGAAAGCTTTCGGGGGGGTTTACAAGACCCCCTTTGGGCCAAGGAAGTTGTTCCTATCTTTCCTTGCAGTCCACAAATGCGTTGTTTCAAGGCACGCACCCGGCACTCGATTCTGTACCCCCACAAAGAGCAGCTTCGGGGCCCCAAACGACGTGGCGCGTGTGTACCTTTTTTTTTAAAACAAAAAACACATGTGGCTTGTTACTTGTCACAAGATTAACGGGATAAGTTTGGGGTTCCTCGATTTTCAGCCACAAAGTTTGGTTTCCAAGACCAAAACCACGGAAGTGAAACCACGGCAGGCGCATCACGAGCAGTTGGGGAAGTTCAGGCTGCACC